CCCCCCTCCCAATAAAAATTATATTCTCCTAGTAATGATAGTATCTTGACATCAAGAGTGAGGAACGTGATCTAAATCATGAGCCGTCAATGGCTGGTTAGCTCCTTACAGCTAGTCATTTTACTCGGCCCCATGAAAAATATTAAACATAATGCATAGTAACAGATTCACAGATTCTCAGTAATAGTCACTCATTCATACATTACAACTTTGACCCCGTCCACACGTATCCGGAAATTTTTGTATCCGCAAATTTKTTTTGCGGATACGAAAATGTTTGCGTCCACACGCAGCGTATTCGAATCGTTTTCACCGTCCACACGTATCCGTTTTCGTACAATTTGCGGATACGGACACAAAAATTTCCGGACACGTGTGGACGCAACCCGTATCCGCAAAAAAAAAAATTGTGGATACAAAAATTTGCGGATACGTGTGGACGGGGCCTTTGTTTCAAGGGCCCAAGTATCATCACTCTAGTAGTATGTTTTGATTTTGATAGTAATATGATTTATATTTTTCGTAATTATATATATTTTATAAGTTGTGCGTTAATGTGCAACAAATGTTCCAGAGGAAGTGTCCGCCCTATAGAGGTTTTGCACCATCAAGTGCCCAAGCCCATGATACAGCTTGGGCTGCCTGTGGTTAGATGGCAGAACAATAAAATCCCTCTGCTCTTAGGAATTGAATAATGATTGTATGCTTCCTGCAATCTAACATGGCTGCCGTCACGTGATAGTGCAAAACCTCTATTCACTTCTTGCAATGACGTTATGAAAGGTTTTTTCATCAATGTCTACTTTAAAATCATCCCTCACCGAGATGTTCGTAATGTGATGTTTATAAATGTGGATTTGTCTGTAAGTAGTGCCTTTGGTCATACGGTCAGGGAGAGGGCCTGGTCGTCAGTAAGAAAGAAAGAGCCCTTATGAATATTAATAAATGTGTTATCTCGGTCTACTAATCCCTTGCTTTTTGTATATAGAAAATCTCTACTCGCTGCTCCTATACCTTCTGATGATGAATAACAACACTTAACTGAGATGGACCCCGAAAAGGTCGTTATTAAAGTATTATAATAGTGTCAAGATGATCATGTTGACTACCATTACAACGCATGCGTGRGTATTCCTCGGTGCTGACCGTGAGGAACGCACGCTCGAACAAACGAATGGCCAGAATTCCACTTGACTAAAACCACACTGGTTTGACGAGCATTACAGCGCATGCGTGGGTATTCCTCGGTGCTGACTGTGAGGAACGCACGCTCGAACAAACGAATGGCCAGAATTCCACTTGACTAAAACCACACTGGTTTGACGACCATTACAGCGCATGCGTGGGTATTCCTCGGTGCTGACCGGGAGGAACGCACGCTCGGAGACAAGAATGACCAGAATTCGACWTAACTAAAACTGGACTGGTTTTAAAGTTCTATTGATGTACAAAATATCCCCATTCCTCGAAATAATAATATATGGTCAATATTTTCTAAAATTGTGCAATTTTGATACTCTTTTTTTTAAATAACGCTATTCCATGTAAATATGCACCGAATTAAAATATTTCAACAGATATCATATTCCTAAACAAGATGTTTTGAATATCAATTAGTAATCTTATTCTTGGCTAGGCATTGCCTTCGTTCTTACTTTAAGATCATGAAGTATTAAATTGCGAAACGACACATCGCGACAGTGAGACAGATAATCGCTTTTCACTCCATAAAGCAACTCCCTTACCTGAGCTGCCACAAGAGGTATGACGATTATTGTAGTTGACTATTTAGCAATTAGTCCTGGAGGGCTGGAGGACTGGAGGACTAATTGTTCTAGGCTCAGGTCAAACGTCACGTCGAGCTTAACATGAGCCGAACCTAATTCGATGTTATTAGGTTCGGCTCATGTGCAGTTCGACGTTTGACCTGAGCCATAGTCAACTCGAACTAGTCGGTCAATTATATAGATGCAAAAGGTTTTTAATTAAAGTTGAATTCAATGTTTAGGTTTTCAAAGCAGGCACTTTTCGCTACTAGCATAGTAGCAGCTCGTCCTATCTGAACACAGCATTGATTATAGAAAACACTTCGCGTTTGTATTTGACGTCACACGATCAAAATAAATGGTCAATACAATGCAAAACCGCTGAAAACTATAATATCTATCTTTACGACTATCGGCTTTGTTTCTCCTCATTAGCCCCACGTTAAAATAAACTTTCCGGTTTAAATGAGCTACGAAGATTATCTAAAAGACGTCAGTCAGTCAGTGATAAGCTTTAAAGTGAATGCAATTAAGACTGTCCGTTAAACAAAGGGATACTCGGGATATATAAAACTGACAAACCATCTCCGGCATAACAAGATTGTGTAATAAGTACAATCGGTAGAATTTCCTGCCCGCTTGGGGGTTGATTTATCATTATTTCGACAAATAAAAAGACTTACATATGATTATATTAATGAATAGAGTTAGAAATGGTTTCAATAGAATATTTGTGTTTGCAGAATGTGATAAACCCCATTTTAAACAGCTTTGTAGGTATGAATTTTTTTTCTTTTTTCGTTTTTTTCTTTCTAAGCCATTATTCCCGTCTTTAATAACCATCGTATTGTTCGTTTGCTTTGCTTGCAGATAATCCACATCCATTGTATCATTTCATATAAACCAACAGTCAACATCCAGACTTCAAGCAATCAAATATAGCAGTTGGATTTCGTATCACGTTTTCCCATCTATCAGGGCGGTCTGTTCGAGGACTGCTTGAAGCTACCATTAATCACAACTGGCAATGGTATCTTCAAGGTGAAAGAAGATACTTAAAACAGGAAATAGAAATTTTGTTGGTATAATCTTTAGACTTTCGTTGTGAAACGGTACTTTGAAAATTTCAGTAATTTTGTCGTGCAGTATGTACGAAGTAATACTGGTGTATATTCTTGTCTTGGGTACCCTTTGTTGGAGTCTAGCGCCTCAAAGTAAGTATGTCTATTTATTCGTTTGTTTGTCCTTTCTCAAGCTTACGCTGTAAGAAATTAGAAACTGGACCGAGAGGCGCTTCGTATGTGTGTTTATCGGTACTATAAGAAATAGGAAAGCGTTGGTGTACTATTAATGAGAAGCTAGGAGACGTTTGAGAGCAAAAGCGCGGATCCCCCAGGCATGTATYGATCTATTCAAAAAAATCAACCTCTAAATTCGCCAATTTTGGAATTCAGTGCTTGAAGAGCCACTCTGTGAAATGCCATTGCTACTAAAAATCCTATTCCTTCACTATTTATTTATTATTTATTTGTTCATAAGCTTAAAAAATTGTAGCATTCCAGTGAAACTTTCTTTCACTAAAATATATATATTGGTTTGTGTTGGATGGTTGAAATGTTGTCGCGTGCCGTCCATGTCTCACGATCGCTACGCCGAATCATTTTTGAYATTCTTAAACCTAGTTAAGAAAGAATAATAAATGCTTCCATGAATGGCGGAAACGAGTAAAATCATAGTCTGGTGAACTGTAAAGCAAAAGCAAAATTAAAATTATGGCAAAGAAGTTTAAAAAAAGTCATCATCATTCTGGTAGTTTAAAGTGAAGCTGCAACCATGAGAGCAATTCATACCACATTTATATCGGGTTCATTCTGAAAGTGTTTTGGCCCTCTATATTACTGTCACTCGCAAAAACAATTTTTCTCTAGCTCGAAGAAAACCACTGCATGTCGAGGTGAATTGACGATTTTCGGCGTTAAAAATGTTCACTTAAAACCTGATTTAGTCTCCTGTTAAAAAAGACTGAATAGAAAAAGGTTTTTAAAAGGATGTACTTCTAATTGTTCCCTGTAAAATTAGTATTATTATTTCAATTTCCGTATTTATTCGATATTCACTGAAATCAGTTGTAATATTTTCTTAACGGTGTAGTTAATCATCCCAAAGAGCTTGATATCACAAATAATGACCAACATGACGTCACTCTACTTCTAGAGATATTGTCGACTCTGCTTGGATCTCAAACTTGTGTCTTTTCCACTGATATACGTTGGAAAACACTCTTGAATAAGGTCAAGAGTAATGACTATATCAAGAGCTCTATTAGATTAATTACAATGATACCAGTACATTTGATAATAGAGACAAGTATCCGAAAAAGAGTCACATATATAGCTTAATCGTACTTATTTAAGATGGCTCTCTAGAGTTTTCGGTAGTTCCAATAGTAAATATTGTAATCTATATGGCTAAGGCAGGTTCACACATTCATACCCAACACAGGCCAACTATATTAAAGTTCATGAGTTTAGGATTCAGTTTTTATAGACCTGAACACATATAAGGTTACTATGGTAACACTACGTCAGCTATAGAGGGTAGTCATTAAACCCGTGCAATAGATATTAGACGAATACACATTAGCAGACCCTAATTCCATTGTCTTCTTTTGTGTCTATTTGAATATTACACATTGACTAGTATTTTTTATCATATGATTATCCATAAAATACCTATATTTCTCCTTTTCGGAAAACTGATATTTTCACATGCGAAAATAACGTTATTTGCACATGTGAAAATATTGTTACCATGTGTATTTAAGCTATTAGTTAGTCATAATAATAAAAAGCTTATTAAGTTGATGTTATGGATAATTATATAATAAACAGAATATTACATGGGCGCTTGGAGATACGAAATCTATCTTCTCGTGTTGAAAGTCTCACTCGTTCGCTGCGCTCACTCGTGAGATATCTTTTCAACACTCGAAGATAAATTTCGTATCTCCGCTCGCCCATGTAATATCCTCTATATCAATTACTACTAATTAGTACTAAATATTATTCTTGGATTTAGTGCGTGCACTCTATCAATACAATTTTGAAATACAGCAATAACAGTAGAAAAATAAATATAAGCCTTATGAACGCACGAAGAATATGTATTGCATTTGGATCAGTTTCTAAACATTTATTGTTATTGTCCATATGCCTAGATTTGAAAATTCTTTCACTCTCCACGCGCGTCCACAGCAATCCCAAAACACTCGTATTATACTGAGTCTGGAAGGAAAAGTGGGACTGCTCGCAGTCTATTTGAAAGCAGCAAATTGTGACTCTAATATCTGCCACGTACTGTGACCGTGCCGTTCCGTGACGCAACGTACCGTTTGCGTTCCGCCAAGACCTACACAAAAAGCCATAACATGTTTTAATTTGCCAAATCTAAGCGTTTTATCCGTAATCTTACATTAAATAAAAGCCATATCTTTTTCCTTTTTTCGACAGACTTTGATCACGAAGTATGTGGAAGCTGGAAAAGATACGGTAACTCGTGCTACATGCGGGTCTATGATAAAGTCAAGCACACGGATGCTGATATATCGTGTCGAGGGAACGATGCGTTTCTGGTAGAAGTTGATGACRCTCTTGAACAACGATTCGTGTTTGAGCATCTAGTAAGAGTTCCGTACCCTGAGGGGGTATGGACGGGATTGGTACGAGTCACTAATGGTTCAGAATGGACGTGGAATGGAAGAAARCCTTTGAAGTTTAATTTCTGGGGCTTCGGGGAACCGAATGACTTTATGAAGCAAGGAGAGAAGTGCTCTGAGATGAGATCCTGGGATGGCAAGTGGAATGATGTGCTGTGCTTGAATAGGTTGTCCTACGTATGCGAAAAAGGTAAGCCATTATTATATAAAATACCAATCAGAGATTTACTGGTTTCCTAATCAAATATTGGCTTATTGATTCTGGTTTGCAAATTAGCTTCATAAAAGACAATGTTTACAGCAAGATTTTTGCAAACGGGTCTGTTTAATAGTAACTACGATGATTTGAATGAACACCACTTTCTCACTGTTACACATTATGCCAAACAACTCGGTCCGTAAGATACAGAAATATATAGAACTCTCGTTACGCTAATACTAACATTTAAATACGCCTGTCCAAATACCAACGGCACGCTGAAGAAGATCCGTTGGCACGGATCGAACGTCTGTAAAAAATGTTTCAAAATTTTTAAGTCTGACTACAAGCATTTCAATCTAGTATTAACAAAATCCGTGTTTATTTATTTATTATTTATTTATTTTTAGAAATTAAAGTAGGACAGTCCTCCACTATGTCCACAGACATCAGCCGAATGAATGGCGCCCTCACAGGTCACGTGATTCTAGCTACCAATGCGACCGGTGTAATGGACTGTTACGATAAGTGCCAATCTATCCCACAATGCCTTTCGTTCAACTATGAGCACTCGACAAGCAACCCACTGAGAACCTGTGAGCTAAACAACTCAACGAGAGGTCTTGTTGGCCAGAGCTTTGTACCTAGTGATGGTTTTACCTATTATGACTAGCCCGTATATCGCCACACTTATTTTTGCATGGACAAAACAAAGTTTCAAAATAAGAACCTCATTTCATTGAATAAGGTGTTGGATACTGCTTAATAACCCCCTTCCATTTTTTTCACTTCCTTAGCAATGAAATTTAATAGCAACTATCTAAGACTTATTTTTGGTTGTTGTTGCTGTGGTTGTCGTTGTTCTTGTTGTTGCTGTTGCTGTTGCTATTGTTGTTGTTGTTGATGTTGTTTTTCAAGGAATTATATAATTTGTACAAAGTTACCCTTAATAATTGCGAAAAACTAACTAGAGTGTTGAGAACATGTGTTATTCTCTTGAGAAAAAGATTCTTTGTTTAAGTTGTATTCATATTCATGTATTTTCTACTCATGCACAACCTTTTACTCCGACGAAGGACTAGCGTCCGAAACGTCAGTAAGTTTTTTCATCTTTTCACGGTGTAAAAATTACCTTTTTATCATTACTGTTTTATTAGAAACACCGACGCATCTCGCAATAGTTTTTAGCTTCATTTAGTTATCTCTTCATGCACAAGAAGCGATACTCCATGAAATGAAACGTGGTCTGCAATCCTGCTTCTGTACTTTTCTAGAACTGTGGTCATCCATATCCTTCACTCTCTCGGAAATACATGGATACAAATTGTGTACRTATTGATTGTAAATATTGAATTTAGCTTGTTAGGTTTTGCAAAGGGAGGGAAACCCGGAACATATACAATGCTAAAAGCGTGTGCATATGGGGCCAAATTAGAATTGACATATTGTATTTGTGGTTGCACGCATTGCATTCCAAGATAGCAGTAGTCTGCTAAATAATTTAATAGGTAAATAGATGCAAAATCAGATACAACTTGTATTGTAGCAATATTAAATATGTTGCATGTGTCTTAGCTTTGTTTTACAATGTCCCTATTTCCTTTGCTGACTTTTAACAAAAACTTTTCAGTCGAACTTTTCATGAGCCTTGAAAACAATGGATACAAAGCGGTCTTCGTTTATGTCATTAGGTTAAACTCATGCGACGTTCTCTTCATTTAGTCTTCAACTTAGTCTAAGTGTTGATTCAGACGTATCGCGCATAATATTTTAGCTTTGGGATTAAATAATATCTATCCATTAATAAACATGCCTCTAACATATCGTGCATTTAAAGTTTGACATTTTGTTATGAAGTCCATTGCGAAAGATTGTGAGAGAAAGAGTCGGACAATCYCATCAGAGTAGGAGAGGTGCGCGTGTGCGTATTGATGCACAAACTTCCCGCCAAATCCACAAGAATCGCATCAACTAGTCTTGGGGTTCAACCACATGACTCAAATCCCTCGAGACATAAATAACAACGAAGTAGCCACCATGTTGGTTGATCTAACGAGAAAAGCTAATGAGGATTGCTTTGTTATCGTCAACCAACATGGCGGCTATGAAGTAACATGCACCCCAAGAATGAATGTCTTTATCAAACGACCAATCAGTAAAATCAGAAARGTTAGAAAAATGCCGACAATGTACGTAAGAAAATACAGAGAACCCAAAGACCCTATTTTTCAGTAATAGATTAAGTGTTCAAAATAACCGCACACCCGATGGATGGCCTGTCAGGTTAGTTTTACTCAACCTTTTGGTTGCCTAACAACCATATTAATTGTCATCATGACCTTTCGTACCTTTTAATTATAGGTGTGCTAGTGATACCAAGGAATCATAAGGATCTCTTTAATTAAAGCGACACCAGGGGAAAACGTTTGCGCATGCGTGCATTTCAGCACGTTTTCTAAGAAGGTTGAAGAGTTTGAGTGAGAAAATAAATGTTTGTTTTCTCCAAGTATACAAAAAAGTTCGAGAGTATACTTTTGTCAGACCAAGATACTGTGTTAAAAAACCCAATATGAAAGAATTAGCCTTAAGTTTCAAGCATGGACACTAAGTTTTGGCATTTTGTGAAGTCCAATTTATAAGGCATGTTTGAAAGTTAAAAATTTACTTATGTTTAACTAATTTGCATACGGATTCAGAGCATGCGCAGACGTTTTTCACTCGTGCCAATTAAAGCAGAAAACGTCTCTAACTCCCTGCGCTTGCGCGGGTGTGTTTTGATTTATGGAAAGCAAATAATGCGAAATTTAGCAAGTTTCGAATTCAAA